AGAGAGAGAGAGAGAGAGAGAGAGAGAGAGAGAGAGAGAGAGAGAGAGAGAAAGAGAGAGTGAGAGAGAACATGTAAAGGCTGCGAATATATCAGATAAACGCGGCGGATAAATTAATGTAACATTAATTAGAACGGGATAACGTAAAGTCTTGCTTCATGTTAGTAGGGAATTGACGAAAGAAGGCTTTGAAAGATACAAACCTTCTTTCAGTTTGGTGCTGAAAGGATTAAGTGTTTTGCCCAATTCGACTGTGTGAGATCACATCTCCGCGTTTCATACACGCGTGTCTCCAAGTGCGCGCACGTGTCTTCGGGGCGACACGTTACAAATGAGTGACGATACATATTGAAAGACGTAGTCGCAAGTCGTACTCGCGACTCTGTTTACATACCTCACCTTATTTATTCTTTTCGTAAAAAATTGTATTTTTTTCTCTCTCGTTCGTTCTCTCTCTTTCTCTCTAGCTCACTCGCTCTCTCTCTTTTTCTCTCTCGTTCTCTCATTCTCTCTCTCTCTTGCTCTCATTTCTGTTACATTTCTCACTACTACACCTCGCTTTGTTAATCCCTTTCTCTCTCTTTTACGATTTTTTTTCTTCGCGTTAAAAATTTAAAATACTCGTATTACACGTAAGTATTTATGACCCTGTTTTCGTAAAGGCTTTTTAACATAAGTCGATCCTGGCCGAGGAAGATAAAGGAAACGGGAATCCAAGACAGAGAGGGGTTGGATGGGATAAAGAGGGATCGAGAAGATGCAACTGCGTTAGGAGGAGAACAAAGGGCTTGTTCGTCCGCGAACATTACACTCTTCTCGTTACGTATTTCACTTTTTTTTTTTTTCATTTTGTTCTTTTTTGTTCACTTTTTGCTCTTCCCTCTGACGCCTCTCGCTCTCGACGGCGAACGCAGAGGGAGGATAAACGGAACGGATAACTCCAGCGACGTTGGAGAGGGATACGTTGAAGACTTCGATGATTGATCGGGTCGCGCAACAATTCGCAACGGCGCGCGTCGCCACGTTCTCTCTAATCGAGGAGACGCTCCCTCTCCTCGTGCGGCCGAACGATACAAAAGTCGTCGTCGTCGTCTCGAAAAATTGGAACGCGTTCTCGCTTTTCTTAAATACACTTTTTTTTTTTCTCTAGCGCAACAGTCGTCGAATAGCTCGAGAAAGTTTTGTTTTCCTTCTTCTCTTTTTTCCCTCCAATACAGTCTCGCGTTTTATTCTACGAAAATACAATACTTCCATGACGAACACACTTTTTTCTCGTCAAAGAAAGGGATATCTAAAATTTATTGTTCTCCATCGATAATTGATATGACTTACGTTTCTCGTAAAAAGGAACACCTTCACGACGAGTTACGAGATAAGATTATATTTCGGTTTTCTATCTCTCTATCTCTCACACAATTTTTTTTCTTTTTATTTTAACTTCGAGATCAGACTTTCGCCCTCGGCGACAATCTGTTGTAGATCGAACAACAGACAGAGTCGCACGAGGTCGGTACGTTAGTCTATTAATTGTCGAAGAGAAGAAAGAGCAAGAGGAGGAGAAGGAAGAGGAAGAAGTAGAAGAAGGACGAATAGAAGCGACGAAGGGGATGGAGAAGTAGAAGATGAAAAAGTAGAAGATGAAGAAGTATAAGATGAAGAAGTAGAAGAGGTAAAAAAGAAGATGAAGAAGAAAAAGACGACGGGGAGTAATTTTACAGTAACGAGAGCGAAAGATCTTCGACTCCGTTCGATCTCCGTGAGACAACGCAAGTCGCCCGCTTTTACCGCGTATTGCGAAGCACGCAGCAACTGCAGAAAGCAGCTCCCCGTGTTTGCACAATTCGCGCGCTCCACGAGTCGATGTCGGGCTCTCGCCGCGCACAACCGGTAAAAGAAAACACGTTTCAGCTTCTCATCGTGCCGTCACTTCTCTGTCTCTTTTGCTGGTTTGCACACGACACACGAGCTGCGCTCGCCGCGGGGAACGACGATCAGAGTCCGCTTGCTCGCGCGCCCTTCCTGACGTTTCGACGTCGATTCGACGAGATCGCCATACTTCGCGAACGTTCACGCGCCGCTCAGGATCGCGATATCCTGATAAATGTGCGCGAGAGCCGGCCTATCTCGAGACGCAAACGTCTGTCTGTATTCCACGGATTTATTGATGCGTCAAGATGCGCTTAGAACGTTCAAGACCCGCGAGAAACGGGTTGAACTACAGGAGCTCTCCCCCTCCCGCCCCTTCACTCTTTCTCTCTCATTTCAGCGACATTTGAATCCCGCTTTTTCCCTAGGAATGCAGTTACACTGCGATTTCTCGTACATATACATATATATATACACACACATATACATATAAGATATCGACAACGATAAGAAAGAAGATTACGTTATAAAAATATCAGCGACGTTAACACCTCGATGATTGTCTGAAACGTATTCGGTTGTTTCCGTCGACCGTTCTCTAAGTTTCAAACACCCCCTCTCTCTCTCTCTCTCTCTCTCTCTCTCTCTCTCTCTTTCTACGTATTATTATTACGATGAAGCCCCGAAGTAGTCGAATCTACGATACCCACGTGCGTGTGTGTGTGTTTGTCTTCGAGAGAGACTCGCGCGCGAGTCCGTCGCGAGATGAACGCGTCGATTGAGACGGCTCACGTCGAGAAAAGCTCAGAAAGGCTCGGGAAAGCGAACGAGCGCACCTCGTCGACCCTCGGTGATACGTCAGGGCGGGGGCTCGGGGGCCCGAAACAGGCGGCGGCGACGATTAATTAGCGAACGACGATTTGGCACACGTGCTGAATGCCGCTGGCGGCGACGGTTACGCGTTTAGAGTAACTTGGCACAGAATAGAGCCGCTCGGCGACTCGAGAATTCTTCGCGATCGATTCTTCTTGCTTGCTCGTTGCGCTACCCTTTCTCATTCTGCTTTTGGCACCTGAACGCACCGCGTCGAGCGGTGACACACTTCGGCCACGTAGCCGATAGCTCGCCACTTCCTCGTTGTACGCGTTCGAGCCAGCACGCACGATTCTCTCAGTTCGCTAGCTCGACTGGCGAAGACTCCTCGGACGAAGGAGTAAGTCGAATGAAAATTGCGATCGCGCTGTGATCGAGGAATTGGAAATGAACGGAGTCCCGGGAGTCACCACCAGACACGTCCGTCTGTCTATCTGTCTGTCTGATCCAACCCTTTCGGACGATACACGGCGTCAGGAGATCGCGAGCGACGGCTTGGCCGCGCTGGATCTTTCTTCCCTCTGCGATACGAGGAGGAAAGGTGCCCTTCGAGCTCGCGCCCCGCCGGGGAAAGGGCGCGAGAGGCGATTCTCAATATCTCCTATAAAAACTAAGTTTCTTTCTTAGCTGATTGCCTTGCGTAATGGTAAGGGTCGGGCTCCCGGCGGGGATCGTCGCGATCGCTCGTCGTCCCGACGGGGACCCGTGGGGAGCGCGTCACACCGTCATAATCCGTCGTCAATTTCGTACTTGACCCGAGTGCTCGAGGATACTCGAACTGGAGAGAGAGACGAGCGAGCCGCGTCGCCTCTCCTGAAGGAAAGAGTGAAACGGTCGGCACACGTGACGCGCGATCGCCGAGCGCGATTCGCGAACGCGACGAGTCCCTCGACAGGAGGACCTACGCAGTAAGGATAAGGCCCCTGCATTAAACAGATTGCTCCACGCCGATACGATCGTGATCAACGCGGACGTTCGCACACGTCTCTCGTCCCGTCTCCCTTCTCGTTCAACACGCCGCATTCGCGGGAACGATATCGAGCCGATCTCTCGAGCTCGCCGTTTCTTGCGATCTCGCGTTTTGCCGTCCAACATTTTCGTCTCTTTTCCTTTCGCTAACTCAAGTGTGTCTTCTTAACGTGACGAGGTTGGGAGAGGTGGGAAGGGCCGTGTGTCTAGGATCCGATTCAACCCAGGAAGATCTTCGACGATCGCGCGTTGTCTTCCTACCTTTCGTTTCTCATCGCGCGCGAGAAAATAATAAATTGGCACCCAGACAGACAGATGTGTACGCCAATCTGCTAGTCGCCGTGCAAAGGTTATATTTACCCGAAAAGTATAATCTCGTTCTCAGTGGAGTCCTTTGAATCCGAGCGGATTTTATTATTCTTATCAAGAGGATTCTTTTAAAACCGAAAGGAGAATGTTCTAACCCTGCTTGAAAGATATGATAACGTCAGATCAGAAACACAATATGACATGAAAATCTGAATGCAACTTTTGGTCAATTTGTTGCTGCACATCAGCAAAGAATTTACATTATTGCTCGATGTAAATGTGATGACCAATTTGATACAGTGGATTTCCTCGATAATTATAATTGTTTCGTGATAATCACGGAAGTCTATCTGGGTACCGAAGGTGGCATTCCCCCCATTTCTCTCGCCTCTGCTTCTCGTTCGGATTTTCGACACAACCGGCCGCGACGTCAACGATCAATCGATATTCTCAGGTATTCCTCTGCCTGGATCGCGTCTCTATCTACGATACAGAAAGCGGATACTGTTAACTGCGATTAGCGCTAATCAATGTCGGTCAACAACGGAGATCTCGAAGGATATACAATCCGCCGTGTCCCACGGTCTCCTCGTGGACCCTGCTTGAGCGCGCGACTGAGAAGTGCGACGAGACTCGGGACGGAATTTACGCTCTTTACGCACCAACGCGGGAAAAACGTTCAGAAACTCGCGCGCAAACAAATTCCGGTTCCTCGTGAGAGTTTTTCTCACGTTTTTCTCACCCCAGAACTCCAGAATGGAACTTGGCTCGCCCGCGCGTCTGAAATTACACGCATCTACGCGCTTGGAAGAGCAAGATGCCGATTCCTCGAGTGTCTTCCTCGCGTACAAGATGCTTCTACAGCAAGTTTTGTGTGCAAATTTTACGCGAGCCAGGAGCACGCTCGAAGACCTGTGGATGCGTGTGTGCATTCGTACGTGTCCATGAATTCGTAATAACCACGATAATGTGATCCCCCAAATGTCTCTTCGCACGCAGAAATAGAACTGCATCCCGAGTCCCGCGGCGAATTACAGCGCGTGCAAGGCGCACGTAACACCACTGCGGTATCCCGTTGTCCCCTCTTTATCCCGTGTGTTCCGCGCAGCACGGGCTATTATATGCGACATCATAACGATATCATAACGGTTATCACTAGAATCTACACCGATCGAATCGAAGTGTCTGCACATAGGGCGCTCGGTGGTATATATTACAATTCGCCAATTTCCGAGTGATAATACACGCCTGAATAAATGGTTGCAGGCTGTGGTCTACGCTTCGGGGCCCGAAAGTGCCATTAATTACTCGTAGCCTAGTCATATGTGTCACTGGATATGCTTCTGGAATATGTCGGCGCGACAAGAGTCATCCTCGGATCGACGATGCTGCGGTGTATATGTGTGTGTGTGTGTGTGTGTGTACTGAGAGGACAAATATCTGAGAGATAAAAAATGTTTATTCGGTGTGGGTACCAATAATATATTCACTATATTACTTTTACACACACGCGCACATACACATCCTAAATAAAGTATCTTTTATACAGATACAAAACATTTTTCAAAGAAGATACACATTTTTCTAAAACCTCATGAAACCTCATGAAATCTCAACTTTTCATGAAAGCAATCGCGTGTTCCGTTTAAATAAAAGAATTGGATATTTAAGTGGATGTGTCCCCACCACCGAATAAATACTTCTTATTTTTCAGGCATTTTTTCTCTCAGTGCGTGGCAACCAGAAAATTATCGGCTAAGAACGGATTCCGCGCAAACTGGCCGCCGAAGTCGCGTGGGCGATCGTTTCGTGATGATTAGAGAGAAGAAATATCGGAAAAATATGAAAAATATCTATTCATGGAAACTAATAATATGTTTACTTATAATAATGTATATTTATATAGAAGAAACATTTTTTTCTCAAAAATATACATTTTCTCGAAACTTTTCAAGAAAAGCAATCTATTCTATTTAAATGAGAAAATTTAGGGAATTTTTAGTTTTAAATAAGTATGTTACTGTCCACCGCGAACATATATCTCTTATTTCTCAGATGTTCTTCTCGCGGTATGTCAAACGATCAGACGTAACTCGCGGAATTCCGTTGCGCCACTCTTAGAGTGACGCGAAACACCAAATCTCGCAAAGTCCCGACACTCGAAACGGATCGAACGGAAATGACGAGATCAGACCTCCTTCACATTGAACGTCTGTATTTGATTCGGCGTACTGAAAGGAAATAAATATAATCAAGAGACGCATTTTTCGAATGGGAAGATCGTGATTCTCGTAATCCTACGTAAACGCGTGCACCAATCGTCTTCCGCGTTTTTTTTTTCCGGTAACGTTATTTTTTCTGTTTTGTTTTTGGTCTCTTTTTTTATCCTGTTCCGAGATGAAACATCTTCCGATCGGATCGCGTTTCGATATATATGTATATATATATTTTTTTTTTGTTTTTTCCTCGTTTTCAGGAGCGATCGTGCTCGGATAATGTATGTTAACGCCGTTGTCGACGATTTGAGAGGGTATTTATACGCACGCGCGCACGTGTTGTCTTATCGCCGATCAAAACGCGGCTTTTCAAGGTTCCCCTGCTTGTCGTGTCTCTCCTCTCTCTTTCTCTTTGTCTCTCTCGCGCTCGTAAACGCTCATTATATACACTCACGCATTCAGAATCTCTCTCTCTCTCTCTCTCTCTCTCTCTCTCTCTCTCTCCTCATTTTTCCATCTTTCTTTCTCTCGCACACACTCTCGCTCTTTCTCTAATCATATTTTCGATACTAAGTACTCCTTTTTCTCTTTCTCGCACACTCTCTCTCCCACTCTCTCCGCAATGTGCCTTAAAAATTGATCCTTAACTACTTACTAATAATCGATTCTAATCACAGCAATTATTTATTGTTGATATACACAATCATACAGCGTCTCTCACTAATTGTTATTTCCATCATTATTATTTTTTTTTTGTCGACTTTTTAGCAGAGGCTATTTCTCGCTCGAACGATGCTGCGCGTCGCTCGTCTCGCGTTTTACTGTTTTTTTTTAACTGTTTCTCTTATAATTACTACTGTACGCCGTCATCGTCTTATCCATCGGTGGAGGGATACCGGGAAGATCGGGGGTGTTGGTAATGGTGGCAGGGGGGGAGGGGTAGATGGAAGGAGCAAGGGAGCGGGCGCTGGGCTAAGGGATCAAAGTGGTGGAGAAAATTTAAGAGGAGTGCCTTGTTGCCACGATTGTAGAAAAGAGAGAAATACTGCTTCTTCTTTCTTTCTCGAAACGTATAATAACAAATAATCTTCCACAATGACATGTGTTTATATACGTGAGCGTGGGTATGTGTGTGTGTGTGTGTGAAAGTGGAAGTGTGTGTGTGTGTGTGTGTATAAATAATTATATAAATACAAAAGAAAAGCAAGATCAGGTTTCTTTCCCGGGAAACCCAATTCGGGAACGAGTCATCGACAACGTGACTCTCGCGGCCGATCGTGCATCGATCATGCGCTCTCAAAGGGCGCGCACATATCGATCCAAGCGCGAACACGCATCGGATCCGCGCGAAACCCTTTCCCTTTCCTTTTTCTCGCGAGACGCATACAGCAGACTGCGTTGTGAAACGTGGTAGTGGCGTATATACACAATTATCTCCTTCTCTCTTGCGACACCAACGAAATAACAAAAATTTAAAAAGCACGAGAACTCTCGGTGCAGGCAACGATCCTCACGTGTCTAAGTAACAATAAAGAATCTCTCTCTCTCTCTCTCTCTCTCTCTCTCTCTCTCTCTCTCAACGCCGAATCACGAGTAAATAAATAAATAAATAAATAATTTCACGTATAAAAACTCCACGCTTTAATAGAATTTCTAATTGGACGCTCGCACATGGTGAAGAGATCTATGAAAAGTCGCGACACGAACGAGACTGTCTTCGGAATTTCGTTACTTCTCGAAGACTCGTCAGGGAATGTCAGGACCTCCCCCAACACACGATCGAATACCACTTTTAACAACACAACCTGCACCCTTTGAGCAAAACGAACGCTCGTGCCGTTGTACGCGGGGCAGAGGTGGCTGGCCGCTCGCGGCTCATTCACTCGGAGAACGAAGCGACGTTAAGCCAAACGCGAAATCGTGATGAGCTAGGTACGTCGATGCAATAAATAAAAGTTGATGAAGTCGCGGATGTGTGTATGCCCGAGACACGAGATGTCAAGACGCTAGAGATTCTCGACCGAAAAAGACCCGCCGGTTGTGTGAACGGCGCGACACGCCCCGCAACTAATAAGTATGTACAACGTGCGTAAATCATATTTACAAGGAGAGACGATCTCACGTCGCGAAAAGAGGCGCGAGCACCGTAAAGCATGCCGTGACGACCATGACGAAAATGCGAAACGTGACGTTTCGCGGGTAACCCCTGGTCTACATTCAATGATTTAAGACTTAAGCCTTAAAAATTGACTAATCCTATTGGATCATTCTTATAACAGTCGACTGTGATTGGTCAATTTTTAAGGCTTAAGTCTTAAAATCACCGAATGTAGGCCAGGGGTAAAGCGCTCTCTTAAAGTACGATCAGCGTACTCCTCACTGCATGTACTATACTTACAATTGATGCTTCAGCTTGGAAGTATAGCATTGCGATCAGTAGTCTCGCCGCGAGAGTCAGTCAGTAGTGGCGGCACACCCGATAAAATGGTCTTGCAGGGTTCTCGAATGCACGTTAAACCATTAGCGCAGATCCCTTCAGAAACGTCTAATGAAAGTCGTTTCGATGTAACTAAATCAATGAGTATATTCATCGGTGAAGTGCTCCTTCCGCTGACTCACTCGCAGGTACTCTTACTGATTCACTTTGAGAGAACGACGACTCCGCGAACTCGCGATATGAAATTTTATCGTAGTACGTCACGCAGGCAACACTTTCGTCTCGTTCGGGAAGGATGGCGAGTGTACGCGTTGAAATCAAATAGTCAACGTTGAAAAGTCGAGGGTGATTTTCTTCCTTTCTTTTTCTTTACGCAACGGAGAAAGACGTAGAAAAGCCGGCATTTACGCGCGAAGACCGAGAATTTAATTGATTGAGCTTACGCCGGAAGCACAGACTAACGTTTCCGTTTTCCCCTTCTCTCTAACGCGAACGCTTTCTCTTCACGTTCTCTTTTTTTTTTTTTCTTTTTAATTTATACGTTTGGCACACAATGGAAGTGAACGGTACAGGATAACGTCGCGAGCCAGTAGGATCGCGCCGCTCGCCAATCACATTGGCGTGAATTTACAACTAACAATGGAATCCGACAATTTAGCTACCATTATTGCCGTACATCTCGGCACGATTCTCCCTCTATTTAATTTAATAATAATAATAATTCCCTGTGATTGGAATTATTTCCGCTTCTATCGGAAATTTTCGCTTCCCGGTAAGTTGAACCAATATAAACGCGATAAAAACAAACAAAAAAGAAAATAATGATAGTACCACACATGGTTCCGAAAAATAAATTATTTTGTTTGCGCACTAAAATACATCAACAAATGCTTAAATACGAAATAAAGTAATCTCAAAGGAGACCTTGCACAATGCCGTTTCTCTTCCGATTGAAATATAATAATTTCATTAAATACCAACGATATGTGTGTAACGACGTTTTGTATGTATGTATGTGTGTATGTATGTATATATATATACACATACACGCACTACAAGTCGTACACGAACGAAGAGAGAACGCGGTAACAATTACGCGGCGAATATAACAAGGAAGAACGTTGTTGTTGACGCGCGTGTAATGCTAAAAACGATTAAAAAAAATAAGAAATAGAAAGAGGAAAAACAGACACACATCTTATCACCGTTCTCGAGGCAGGGGGCGAGCGATCTCCGAACTGCAAGTAACGGCGTTAAAAACGGAGAGGAAGGTAGATAGGGTATAAGTCTGAAACGGGAAGCTGAAAAGCGGAGGATGAAGAAAGGAGAGGACGCCTCTCTCTCTTTGATCAAGTCTGGGCTTGAGCTCGCGCACCTTCTCTCTCATCGCTATTTTATCTCCTCTAATTGTCTTTATCGTATAATAAATATATATATATATTATGTATATATATATAATATATATATCATTATTTATATTCCACGTAATAATTTTATTTGTTCCTTCAACAGAAGTGCGCACACGCCCGGCGCCGCCGCCGCCTCCTCGATGTCCATCTCAGGCGGAACAAAAAAATCACGATAACGTAAATCACGATAATGACAAGAAAATGACTAAAAAAAAAAATTCACTTTTTAATCACGATTCATCATATTGACGTCATAGTGATTTTCTGTTCGGCTTGAACACCGTCGACGCACCTCGACGCCCAGCGTCGCTAGATCCCGACCTGACGCGTCGTCGAGTTCGCCGACGAGGGAGATGTGGAACGGCGCCGGGGAGCCGCGCCTTAGAACGTCCGCGCGCGACCGCTCGTTCGTCCCTTCGCGCGTTTCCGACCTCGCGACTTCCGGAAGCGCCGGGTGAGCGACACGGGCCGCGAACGTCCGTGCAGTCATTTCTTTTTTCTCCCCTCTATCAAAAGAAAAGAAAAGAATGAGTCTTTTCGTGTTTCTCTTTTTCTTCTCTCTCTCTCTCTCTCCCTCTGCTTCTTCTATCATCCATCTCACCGGCAGATTTCGGAGTTCAAGATCCACATGCAAAAGCTACACAACTACGTGATCAATTGATTCATTAATTACCGCGCGCGACTATTAATTGTTACTTTCCCTCTGCGCGCGCGCACGCGCGCATGACGGTGATCGCAATATGATACTCGCACTCGCGACCTTCGTTATTTCCCCGGCGGTCGGCCACGAGGCTTCAACCGCGCCTACGCTTCCCCTTCGAACCTCGTAGCATCTTAAGACCGGCTGCAGAGGCGCGCTGATGGGACACGAGAGACCACCTATAATGGAGGTCGAGATATGGGACACGCGGGGTGGGGAACATCACCATGCGATCGAGATCGGCGGCGTGGGACGCGAGGGGCCACGTGGCCGAGATATGTGAGGGGGCACATGAAGAAGAACCGCCCGTGTGAAGTCGAAGTTGAGACGCCCCAGCGCGTCCCCCTTTGGTTGTTCGCGCGTTCGGCGGATACGCCAATGTGGGGCGCGCTCGTGCGACCACGCGGTCGAGAGATTTTGAGTATGAGACCCTGGCTCTGCGAGAACGCCTCGCCGTCCTGGGTCTCGAGAATCCAGGGTTGCTGGTCCGAGAGCAGATGGCTCGAAGAGTTCGCACGCGAGCACCAGACGTTTCCCACCTGAAGTTTCACGGAAAGGAATTCCTTGAATTGGTCAAGTTTAGAAACACAGGTCGGGGATCAGCTAGGATTCACGACGGGCAACTTGGTCTTTTCACTTCTTTTCTTTTGACAACATAAAACGGGATGATCGATAGATCCTTCAAAGCATATTCTTAAAAATGACGAAGGTGCATTCGAGCCTTGTGTGACTCACACCTTAAATCTGCTCACATCGTACAAATTCTGTGTGTAATTTTGTACGGCAACGTCTGATGTTCGCGTTGAACCCGTCGGCTGCCAGTTTCTTTTACGAACAACAACGGTCTTGTGATACTAGCTGCATTTCCGTCACGCTTCTTTCGGACGAAGTAACCAAGCTCGCGAACCCGTTCGCGAACGATCATCGTCGTCATACGCGATGGTGTGTCCGCAATAGAAAAAACGCTAACAACCGGCCTAATATTAATTAGCATCGTCATTATTAGCTTTATCTTCTTCATTATCGTCGTCATCATCTTCATCATCATCATCTTCATATTTCTATCATCATCTCATTACCTTCTTCTTCTTCTTTTTCATCATCTCATTATGATCATCATTATTATCATCATCTCATCAAAATCATCTTCTCTTTCTTCATCATTATCATCATCATCATCATCATCGTTCGTATAATAGTTAATAATTAATAATAATAATTCTCTCGCGTATTTCTCTCCCACGTCTCACTTTTTTTTCTCGTTTAAATATAAAAATGAAAACTAACGTATCTTTGGCTTGTTCCCTTTACCAATCGGCGGCAGCCTGCGGCTGCGGCGTGCATCATTATTTTTTTTTACTTTTGTTTAAATAACTTTTGTACAGTTTTGTACACTCGAGTGTGTCCGTGTACGCGCGTGCGTATCTTCTTCGTCTCTCCGTGTATAATCCCAATCAGGGAGTTATGTGTGCATTCATATGTGTGTGTGTGTGTGTGTGTGTGTGTGTGTGTGTGTGTGTGTGTGTGTGTGTGTGCATGGATTTGTGTGTTCGTGTCAATGTCCTTGTTTGTGAATGCGCGTGTCCAATTTTAACGTACACGTCTTATCTTAAAGCGCGCACGAAGTAGACTCCTTCCTCTTCTTCCTCTTTCTCTTCGAGTACGTGCGAGTGTGCTTAACGTGAGTTGTGTGTGTGTGTCTCTTTCTCTCTCTCTTTTTCCTTCTCACCGTCGTGTAATATCTTCTTCCTCTCTCCTACTTTCTCTCTTTCTTACGAGTGGGTGTATATGACTCAGTGTATGTGTGTGTATGTATGTGTGTGTGTGTGTATGTATATATGTGTCGATTAGCAAGCTGGTTGAACACAGTGTGTGGCCCAGCCCCAGATGCCACTTGACAGCTTCGCGCGCTCCGCGATGCCCCATTCGCGTCCTTTCGAACGACGATAACGACCACGACGACTGACCCACGTTTAGTGGATGGGCGATTTCACGATGTGGTCCGGCGGGATGAAGTGATACGCGGGCATAGGCACCCCCGACGTCTCCATCGATATCCTGAAACATAATCGGCCGGCACGTCAAAAAGAGTAACATCCACTTTCGTATTGGTCGCATTCGCCGACGAGTACGAGGGAGAAGAACACGAGCTCATTTGAGAAAAAGATCCATTCAGGTAGAAAGAGCGTATTGCAATCAGCGGCAAATATGTCGAGAATGAATCTCTTCTTCCTTTAGGCAAACGTCAGCGGAGATTGATGAGTCCTCGCTACGTGCTCCCGACCAAGCCCAAGCAGCGCAAACGTCTGAAAAGGAGTCTTGATTCCTCAGACTTTCTTCGGATCTTTGCGTTACTTTCGAGCGGCGGGATAAAATCTCTTTTATACCTGCGTATCTTTCTTCCAAATACAATGTACCAGACTAGAAATTTAATCCATGATCCTGATCAGATTGATCCCGATTAGTTATCTGGTTTATATGAGATGATGTTATCACACCTCCTAAGTGTTAATGAACCTTATTATTAATAAGTTCCTAATCGCCGTGTCACACGACTTATCAGAACCCGTCATCTTGTACGAAAAGTATATCTTATCTTTGGCGGAATCGACCATATTATTGACTATATTGACAGTCAACTAGATGACTGATCAGGACCAACTTGATCATGGGATAAATTTCTGGTCGAGCAATTCCCACAAGACATTGGCGCGCGGCTCGACACTTCTCACTCGTGCTTGCGGCAGATTCTAGATAATAATCCCAGTGATACTGTCAACGTCGGAGGGAAAGACCGACATCTTTCTTTCCGTCCGCGTGCGAAGGTGTTGCAACATGCGACGCGGAAGTAAAATACAGAAACACGAATCTAACGACTTTCTTCAACCGTGTATGCATCGATACAAAGGCCCGACAGTCTTTTTCCGTTTTCTTTTCTTTTTCGTTCTCTTTCTCGATTGCATGCCCGAGAGTCTATACGCACACGTACTTCATACGAACCATCGACGGAGCGACAATTATAGACGGGCTTCGATCCACGTCGAAGCTGCAAAACAAAGTTATTACCGCGTCTGCCGGGGGTTACACATTTGGCACAACAGTTCTGCTACCGCGAATCTCACGAAAGACATTTTCGCAGAGAAATTTTATCGCGTAACGCATCTCCGTCTCGAGAAACGGGAATCACCCGTGCGAGCCCGAGAGGATTTCTCGGAGAGATGGTTATTTTTTTCTTTCTTTTAGTCGTAAGCCTTAGCTGGTACATATCAAGAAAAAAAAAATTAAAAAAATACACACAATAAGAAAGACTGCGCAGCGATCGAATTGAAAAGAAACGGAAAAAAATATATACATATATTTATACGTGAAAATCAAAGAACGATGTTGTATATAAAATGAAAACTTCGCAGCCAACGGTCGAAACAGGATAAGTCGATTAACAGGACTACGAAGGAACGGATGGTGCTTACCAAAAACGGGCAGGAGCCTGGGTCAAGTTGGTTGTGGATGGATATATCTTCTCTCTTTCTCTCTCACTCTCTCTCCCTTTCTTTACATTTCTCTGAACGAGCCTCTCTCTCTCTCTCTCTCTCTCTCTCTCTCTCCCTCCCCAAATCTTGATTACGCTTAACACGCTTATCACACGTGTACACTCGTGCACATATGCGGCGAGAGATGTTTACGTCTTATACACGTACATACGCAGAGCGGGCTTGTCGGCCCGTGTTTTTCTCGGCGCTCATTTCTAGCGTAAAGCGTTCAAAGCGCCCGCCTGACCCGAATTCCACTTTTATCGCGCACTCGATACAAGCGCATCGTGTGAAAATGAGCTCGGCACACGAGAGAGCGTATCTCGCGTGTGTGTATAATGACGTGTGTCCCTTTCGGCGTGGTCGGTCGCCCTGTCGTAATTATAATTGCGCGGCGAATTGGACGAATCGTCGCTGAACTACTGAAGTCCGTGTCAGACTAGATGTTGAGAAACGAGGACCACGAACTCATGATTAGAATACGAATCAACCAATACCTCCAACACGGCTTATTTTATCCCGCTTTTTGTCAGGTTCCGCAATCTTCAATCTCTAAACATCCAATCTGATACGGATTTAAAGGAAGGTTCTGATTTAGATAGCCAGAAGGTAGAAGATTTTTACAAATTTCTTTCAAAGAAATAGATGTTAATCTTTATCTATCTCTAAGATGAAAAACATTCGTGAAAATCTATTGTTCAGCTATCTAAATCAGAACCTTCTTTTAACGCGGACACGTCGCATCTCGAAGAAGGTAGCAATAAAACGCTCAGGTGCCATGAAGGTGGTCGCGCGACACATCGGAGATCCTGCTCGCGATCGCAATAATATTCAATAATGATCACATCAGATTTCTCACTTGCACTCTTCGTTCAAATTGTCAGAGACGCGTTAACGATTTCGTCGGAGAGAGTCACTTTCCGAAAGCACCGAAGCCAATGTGTCGCGAGACCTCGCTCACAGGAACGCCGAAGTTCTCTCTTTTCACTTGGTACTGTATTTCTCGTACTTGTATTAAACACGCCTAGCTTTATTTAACAAGGTGATACAGAGTAGCTAAAGGTCTGTTTAAGCATACAAGCTCTGCGACACTGTTATAGGGACCGATATATCGCTGAAAATTATCTACTTACAAGGTTCTGTGCACGGGTATAAGGATACCAGGATACACCACCGATACCGACGAGTCGCGCTCGCCACGATCAAGCAATAACAGCGACGCTCTCTTCGTAACCTTGTCAGAGATCTATTCCAAACAGAAAGAAATTCTGCACTCGTGCGAATCCACTGTTTCGCTCACGTCTGGAATAGATTTCTGACTAGTCATTCGCCATATTTTATCCCGCATTGCTTCTCCTTATATACCCACATGATGAGACCTGCGTATATATTCTCTTTCTTTCTCTCTCTCTCTCTCTCTCTCTCTCTCTCTGAGATGATCAATCTGTAATCAATCTCTCGCGATTTTTCTTCTTTCACTTTTTTTTATCGTGAACAATCGCTTGAATTCATCATTATTGTCCCGGTGAGAAAGAAGTGTAGCACAAAACCGCGCGATGTAGAATGACGACAGACGCGCAACGAGATCTTCGTGCGCGTTCACGGTAACAGTTGACACGCAGTAACGAAGTAAAGTGAAAGCACCAATTTCCAGACACGCACTTAATCCTGGACATTATCACTTTGGTCTTTAAATACGAATATATCTAAATTTTCAGTATTATATATATTTTTTTTTTGTATGTATGTATGTATGCATGTATTCAATATATATATATACAGGATGAAGCAAAAAATATAACTGAAAATGCTTCGATAATGTCGTAAATATTACTTTTAGCGAAAGTTAATCCAAATAAATATTGTATGATTCGAAGGAAGTTATATAATACATTATTAAAGTTTTTTGTCACTTAGTTTCCAAGATATCAAAATCACTTTCAGTTCTTTAAATGAAATTTTTATTCTGTAACAAAAGTTGTAGATATTATGAAAACAATTTCACAACCATTCTCATTTTAGTTTCCAGTTCGCGTCCTTTATAAATTTTCATAAACATTTTAGTTTACTTCATCAGGGAGAAGAGCAACCTGATTCTGATAAATTCAAACATGTTAAACAATATGATCTTCGAACGACTTCTGCCCGATTTGCTATATATTTGAATACAACCATTTCTAGTTAAGATTCCAGTTACGTACTTCACCCTGTTTTTACGTCGAAAGTTTAACTGCTTAAGTGGTATACCCAAAAAAGTTTCGTGGTATCAATTTCCTTTTGATTTACTTAAGTTATTGTGTTTTTCTCTTTCAAAATTTATAACGAATACTAATCAAAAAATACTTTATATGGTATTTTTTTAAATTCTTCAAAGAAAATAACAATAAAGAGGAAAGAAATCTAGACAGATTTATCAAAAAACAAAAAAATCCGCTCTGGAGGAAATCGCGATCATTTTAAATCATTACACTGAAGAAGTTAAATATACCTATTTAAAAACCGAAACATTAAGAATAGGTCAAGATTAGGTACGCGACCTGACATTAGTACTTCTATCTTAAATTTTCCGGCCAATGGAACCGCGATTGTCGCGAGGCTTATGACGGATCGTGTGGCCTCGCTCGCGATAATCCCATCGTGACACTCGCGAGTAGGTTCGCTATAAACCAAAATCAAGTTTATCTAATGCTTAACCAGTCAATCGGGCGACGACGAAGACATCTGGAACTGTCACGAAAGTTCTCCCCTCTTCTTTTTGTGCTTTTCGTTTTTATTCGCGATTCCTCAAATCTGACATCGTTGCGATCGAACGTTCTTCCGCGACTAAATGAACGTCGACCTGCTCACGCAAGCGTTTCTTCTGATCATTTGCAGAGAGATCGTTAAGACTAAGATGAAAAAGACGATCGCATTACTGTGGAATTAGAAGTCTGATCGTGCCTTCTGCGTGTATACGTGTTTTTTATTAGTCTTATCTCACAAAAACATCAATCCGCACGCGACCCATGCAGACCATCTTGTGGTCGTCTCACGTGCGGACGCGCAAGTATCGATTGTAATTATCGTTATAATAATACGACCACTATGTGTATATGTCAGTGTATATGCATGTATGTATGTGGTGTATAGATTTATCAGTTACTTTGTATAATAACGAGATGATCGATTATACCATAACTCCGCGAAGTTCACCCTGCCGATGCTCCAAACGAGCGAATCTTTTTCTATCCCCAATCGTTCGACTACGAATTGTTCCTCGTGAAAAAGATCGCAAGAGATAGCCGAAGCATGTCACATGATTGTGGACATGCGTTTGCATAATGCGTCCTATCCGTAAAGAATGATCAACACATGATTCAAGACCATTTTCTCCTTCTCATCTAGACGCTTAATCACGCACACCTGTCTGCATGAGTTTCTCTCACACACTCACACACCCGCACACATTCTCTTTCTCTCTTGATAGAATGGCCGATTATATTCTACAAAAAAAAAAACATTACATCAAAATAGCTAAAAAGAGTGTTT